AACTTCTTTTTTACATTTTCGGAGTGTGGCTTAACTACATAAGGTATTTTGTCTCACTAATTTTCATTGATTTTAATGGCATATGGTTCCTAAATGACAGATGATTCTTCATCCTCAACCGAGCAAAGTCAAGTGAATAATATATGAATATCTCTGAAGGGCAAGCAGCTGGCGTGAACGCTTGTACCAACTGTAGAATGGACCTTATAATACTAATGTACCTCGTAACGTACATCCATCCATGCTACACTAGTTAAGTCTAGTTTCTTGGTTGCCAGTTGAAGTTGGATTTTTAAATGGTTTTTTTGCTGTCTACTTGAGCTAGCTAACATGGTTAACAGGCATGTAGAATGGAACTGAAGGGTGTCCTGGTTTCAACTTTCAAGTTCATAATTACTGATAGAGGGATCCAACCAACTAATGTGAGATTGCAGATTTCCCGGGTTTTAGGGATTGAAATGGAATAAATCCAGATATACCTTTTTCTGTAATGGGGTAGACATTTCAGGGTTAGTAATAGAAGTCCATTTCCCTTTTTATTTTCACAGTTGTCTTTGTTTATTTATAATTAAATTATTTGAAGAACTTGTTATCCTTTGCATGGTAAATTGGCAATGAAGGGTTTTATTTGGCCCCATGCTCCCATAGGAGTTCGGTCATAAAAAGCCCTCATTTTAAATAATTTTTAATGCTATCGACAAATAAAACCCTGAATTGCCATATTTTAGAACCTTGAGATCATCTTCACCAAAGGCTAGGGACTTGGATGGACATGCTTCCGGACTTAGAAGAGTGCGTATACCGTGCAACGGGTGCATGGTGAACATCATGCACTCATTGGATATTATTTTCTTTTTTTTTTAAAATGGTAATAACTTTTTTATTTTTGATCTGATTTTTATAAAATTTATATCAACATTTTTTATTTTTCATGATCTTTCAAATGAGACCAATATTGTCTATGTAATTTTAACATATTAACATTTGCGTGTAAAATATGTAACTTTACGTGTTAAAATATGTAACTCACGTTGAGTCGGGCCAAATGCAACTCGTGTGTATAAATATGTATCTCTACGTGTAACAATATGTAACTTTACGTAAAAAAATATGTAACTCGCGTTCAGACAGGTCAAATGCAACTCGTGTGTATAAATATGTAACTCGCGTGTATAAATATGTAACTTTACGTGTAAAAATATGTAACTTTACGTGTAAATATATGTAAGTCGCGTTCAGACATGTCAAATGCAACTCGTGTGTATATATGTAACTCGCTTATAAAAAGATGTAACTTGCTTATAAAAAGATGTAACTCGCTTATAAAAAGATGTAACTTGTTTATAAAAAGATGTAACTTGTTCATAAAAATATGTAACTCAATGTATTACCAAATGTAACTGAGGCCACTGATCCACTTCCAAACAGATTTGATCTTCTATTTCACATACCTATCATCTTCCAAACAGATTCGATTTTTGTTATAATCCAATACTCATTAATATAATAGTTCGATAATTTCTTAAAATTACATAAGCAATATTGGTCTCATCTGAAAGATCATGAAAAATAAAAAATGTTGATATAAATTTTATAAAAATCAGATCAAAAATAAAAAAGTTATTATCATTTTTTAACAACAAACGCAAAAAAAAAAACCAAGCATGCTGCGTCGTTTTGAAACCGGGCGCACCATCCTCATGGTGCGCTGGTTGCACGGTATAATTTGCCGACTTAGAACAGATCTAGATGGGCAAAGAATTGAACTGGACACATGTGTTTAGGCCCCGGATAGGAACTGGGTTTAGGTCTAAACCGGTTTTGGTTCCGTTTTATTGTAATTTTTGAATTTGAAAAGTTAGCTAAACAATTGAAAACTAACTGATTCGGATCTGGTTCCCCCCCTTTGACTGCATATACCACCTGCAAGTGAGATGCGAGATTCAAAGTTTAGGTTTTCATGGTCATGCATATAATGTCTGAAAGAGGTAAAACAAAAACAACTTTCCCTTTCGAATTACTATTGTTATAACTTATAACTTTATAAGCATGCCAAGCTAAGAGCCCATTTGGTGGTAGATCAATATTGGGGGATAAGTCTAAAAATAAATAAAAACCACTAAACATCCATTAAGTCAAAATATTTTTAAACATTCCCATTTTAAAAATAGTGAAGCTAAGTTCTGCAAGAAAAAACTGATTGTATAAGCCCAACCCCTATTGTCTATCAGTCTATGACCCTGTTTGACTGTTTCTTTTTCAGCGCATGGGTGCACAAATGCAGCGTTTGCACTTATAAAAAGTTGGCGTTTTGGAGTAAAACATTGCCCACCCAAACACCCTCTATATACATAGGTAGTTAGTTAAAAAAGCGCAGCATGATTAAGGCAGTTGCTTAATTATGTCGGTGTGTTTAAAAACTTCTCACTTTCAATTCCTATATTAGAGCATCTTCAATGCGTTCATGGTGTGAGATAACCACATAAATATTAGCAAATAAATTATCTCTCCTTATTTGAATAATTTTATATGATTTTGACAAGTTTTTTTCAACAATGTCAAGAAGATCGTCTAAATGTTTACATTATTAATTTATTATTGGCATTGCAGAGAATCTTACTAGAATTTTACAAAATTTTTTAAATAAGGGGTAAAATAATTTATTTGCTAATATTTATGTGTCTATCTCTCATGACACATGTGCACATTGCACATTATAGCATTAGAAATGCTCTTAATATCGAATTTGAGAAGACACATTTTATGAAAACGAGCATCGTGTGATTGATATAAACCTTCGTAACGTAAACGATAATTCTTGATGACCATATGTTAATTATTTTTCTTAAAAGATCATGAATGGAATTTTAACACTACGGGGGACAGTAAATATATAAAAAGGCATTAAAAGTTAAAAGCATTATCTTTTATAAAAGTATTAAAATCTCACATGTTTGATTTTTTGTACACGCCTATATTCATTATTAGTAAAGGTACATGGAGATCATGTGATATGCTCTTTTGAGATAAATCATTGAGACATATAATATCATATCCCAATTAAAAAATGTCATGATTGAATAAGAAGTCGAAGGCGATCTGAGAGAAATTATAACTACATCCATTGTAAAATTAAAATATAGCAAATATAGCTTGCTAGATAGTACTACCGATCTGGCGACAAACTACAACAACAACAAATTGCGAGATTGACACAGATTGATCAATGATTTCGTGTCAAGTTACCCGTGCCAAAATATTTTTGGCACTGATTTGACATTCCTGTCAAGTCCTCTATGAATTTGGCAAATCCTTGCTAAAATTTATGTTTTAATATGAAGTTTAAATTCAAGGATTCATAGGTACGATCCTATAGAATAGATCCCGTTCAAGTAAGGTCGTTAAAAAAGTGAAGTTTTAATACCTCTGTCCCATTTTAAATACGTTTATGCCAAATATGTCCCATTTTACGTTTAAAACGTTTGTGTTGGGTTAATGACCCAACGGGGGTTGACCCATGAAACCTTCAAGGGCAGCCCTACGAACGTCTCCAGAAAGCATGAGACAACAAGTTACCTTTTCGCTTACCCTGGCGAGGTTCGTCCCCAACAGGACCATGCTTCAGGGGATGTACGTACCGTGGCATAGACGAGTGCCTTGGAACAGGGGCAGCGCCCGACGCTCGTCTGCAGGACTTCGGACCTAGCAGAAAGCAGGAATCAAGCTCGAGGGGACGAGCGTCCCCACCCTTGACGGGAAGCCAAGGTCCAAGCAGCGAACAAGAGGCAAGCTCATGGGGGAGAACGTCCCCACCCTTTGGCGGGAAGCCATGGTCCCAACAGCCAACAGGGAACAAGAGGCAAGCTCATGGGGACGAACGTCCCTACCCCTTAGCGAGAAGTCAAGGTCCCAGCAGGGAACAAGAGACAAACTCATGGGGACGAACGTCTCCACCCTTTGATAAGCTATGATTATAATGACATATTCACATGAGTGCAAAAATGAATATAAAGATATTCACTAATAGTTACTGCTTTAATCACTACACATATAGTATGAGATGACATTTTGTCCATCATATTTATATTTTAGTTATAAATATATTATTATTTACTAAAAAATCGATACAACAAATCAAGTTAGTTTCTAAAGAAAAACTAATTTGTTAATGATTCTAGAAAAATTTAGTTAACTTTATTTCAGTAATATTTTTGAAAAAATCTTAAAAGGAAATCCCTAATTAATAAGGGTGTCATATTTTGATATTATGTGTGATATTAATAAGTGTCATATTGATACACCAAATCAAATATTGTATGTGAATTTCAAAACAGGATTATCCTGATTTTATCAATTCCCTAATTAATAAGAGTGTCATATTTTGATATTATGAGACCTTAAAAATCGCACTATGTAATATTTTCCTAACATGACAGTAATGACTCCTATTTAAAGAATAAAAATTTAATAATTTTCTTTTGAAATTCCAAAACGTTTCTACTCCCATTTCGGAAAATTTGTCATTTATAAATTTTACTCCCTTCGTCATTTAAAACTTTCCTAACTTTCTTTTTTTGAATATCCCACTAACTTTGCCACTTTCCCTATTAAGTAAAGATTTTGTGGTTCTAGTTAATTGTCATTCCTCTGTACAAAGCTCAACCACACAGTTTTTACTTTATTAATCCTCATGCCGATCAAACTTGACAAAGTTTTAAGGGACGGATGAAGTATATCAATATAGTAACTTATTCGTATGGGTAACTCAGTGGATTGAGTGGTGGGAAAGTTGACACATTAACCAAGGATCGAAACATGCACCAACCGTGTGAAGTTTACAATCATGTGTGTTTGGTTGGATTTCTAATCCGAACGAGTACACGTTCTATCATCATTGGGTTGATTGAGTCATGATAACTTACATCCTCTCAAATGTCTTGTCAGATTGAAGCATGGTGAGCTAGGAGGTTGGGATTGAATCTTTTGGAGTTATAATCATTATCCAAATAGTGAAGCTAAGCTTTGCGAATAGTAGATAAATAACACTATAAATAATGATTTTCCATTCATTGTTGTACAGCACTTATGTACATGTTCCATTACACCCAATGATAAGAACTGAATGACAACAACAGTGACAATAAAGACACCAACTGAAAGCAAATAACGTACGGTATATTCCTCATCCCGCATATGCGCTGCCTCCTACGATACATATTTTAATCGCATTTAAATTCTCGGACTATTTTTTTATGCAAATCAATGGTTAGGATGCAATCCACGTCACCAGTTCTCTTCCTCTTCAGGAACATCATCAACGTAACCTTTCCTTCGAGCTTTGACCTGACGGTCAACGTCACGGCCCCCAGACTCGGTTCCCTCCGAAGCCGCGGGTTTTGGCCCGCGGCAACATTATTTGACGAAAAGTTGACCAAAAAGTCAATCTTCTTAGTTGACCTAAACCCGACTTTCCCCTTCACAACCCCCGCTTCTCCGACAAGATGGGAGTCCATATAGAAGAGCTGAACCGAACTGTTTTGGTACTTGAAAGGGCCGAAGTTAGGGTTCTTTATGCCGAATTCCGCTTTGAGTGTCCCTTTGAATGAGGAATTTGATACGTCGAGGTTAAGGAACGCGGCTGACCGGAGCCGGACATTGGGAGTCTTGACCTTCATTATGACAAGGGAAAGAACCAGGATTTGCGCAACTTGGAACAGGGCGAACGCGGTGGCGAACACGACGTACTTAGTGCGGTTCTTTTGCCGGAGGAGGTTTTCATCATCGGCCGCGAGCACTGTGCTCTTCCCCATAATTAATGGATTATAATTCGATGCTGAAAAGAGAAATGAGCAGGTGGAGTAGTAGTTTGTGCGAGAATATACCTGCAGGGTGATGTAGTGTGTGTCTATATATAGAAAATAGTTTGTGTGAGTTTTTTGTCAGTTTTAATCTATTGTTATACGGTTAAACTTTGATTTTGATACTTGATTTTGACTTTTTTCCACTTTTAGTGTTTCGATTATTGTCCAAGAGACATTTTTATATCAATTTTTGATTCCATATTTAATTTAGTTTTCGACTTTCATAAATAGTGACACTTTCGATCCTTCAACTTTTATAAGAGTGATATTTTTAGCCATCCACTTATTGTGTCAAAATTATAGTGAAAGGACTAAAAATGTTAATTTGATTATACTCAGGGGACTAAATGTGAGAAATTTTGAAGTGGATGACTAAAAGTGTCTTTCGCACAATAATCGTGCTCTAAAAATAGAAAAACTTAAAGTCGGGTAACAAAGGTGTCACTGGCACAATAGTTGGAGCGAAATTGGCAAAAACTCTAATAAGGTTTTAAATTAAGAAATACGAAGTACCACATAATACCTAATATATGATCAAATTTTACTATAATTACTACCCGAAAAAATTCCACTTTTGGTCCCATGACTATTATACCACTTCCACATTTAGTCCCTTACTTTCAAATTCCACTTCAGTACAACAACATCTCCCAAAGTCACTGTCACCTCACCAACAGGGAGGTGAAATGTGTGTGTCTCATGCCTCCAACGCTCAAGAAGAGCAGTGAGTAGCGCTCTATCGTCGTACGAACATGTGGAAGTACTCTGTCGTCCACCCGCACATGCGAGAAACCACGTAGGTGCTCGTGGCACCTCTCCAACTGAACATCGAGGCCAACCCACACATCCTCACTCCTATGCGAGGCCTGCAATGTCAGTACAGAACGATCACTCGGCCCAGGATCCGCTGACACCTCCATGCCTACAAAAAAGAAAAAGGACTTTACCCAGTGGACCCTCCTCCATTGTATCAAATGTGGACTTTAATATTGTATTATTTATTTTATTTTAATTACTATTTTACTAATTACTTTTTTTCATGCACTGTTACTATCAAATGTGAAATATTATAATTTGGACTTTACCCAGTGGACCCTCCTCCATCTCTTGATGATCTCTTTGCACATGTGGCCCTATTATGGCCGGTATGTTTACATATTCCACATCTAACCGTTCCTCGGGGACCTTCATCCATCTCATTCTTAATACGTGTGGACTTAGGTCTTCCTTTAGCCCGAACCATGGATGGATCATGCACAATTTTAGGTCCATAGTAAGTCGGCCAATAATCACGGTCAGGAATGGGTTTAAAGACTCTTTGATATGTGGCGGCGTATTGTTCAGATGAGAAAAATGGATCCACAAATGGATGAGAAGACAAACTACGTTGTCTGCACACGGCTAATACATGAGAGCATGGAATCTTATATATTTGCATCTTTTTACAGGTACAAGTACGCCGCCTCAGATGGACAGTTTGTTTTCTCCCACCCTTTCCCAATGCTCGGCCACCACATCCTGTTTCCACCTAGTATATCCCTCGGCCTATATCATATGGAGTAACACTGTGATGGTTCGCCTTCTCTCTATTCTTGTCAATCAAATCCGTTATGTGTGGAGAGTAGTTGTGGCCTTCAATCACTCTTGCTTTACTGCTTTCACGCCTATTAACAAAATAAGCATTAACGTGGAAAAAGGAAACCTGGACCAAAGCGGTCATGGGCAAATATATGACATTTTTCATCACGTTGTTGAAAACCTCAGCCATATTAGAAGTGATTGTACCGTATCTGTATCCGCCATCGTGGTGTAATGACCACATTTCCAAGGGAATGTTCCCAAAAAATTGTCGCGCCTCCACCCACATTTCCCCTATCTTCAATCACATCTTTAGCAATGAAATCAGAAGTCATCGCCACGTGATCAGTACTATCGGTGTTGCCAACATAGGTAGCAGAATGAGGTCCAGGATAACGCACAATTGTGAAGCTGTCAAGGATGCCTTTGTTTTTTGTGGCGCGTATTCTCCAGGGGCAATCACGTTCCTTCTTCCTCTTGCACTCTGCAACCCATTTGTGTTTATCGGACTCCAACACCCGATAAAATTGGTTCCTTTTAATAGAATACAAGCTCACCATATTGATGACTTGTTCTTTGTTGTCAAACTGTTGACCAACCTCAAACTTACCTTCAGGTGTAAACCTTTTCATACCTGCTCCACTCATCCACACATCGGTAAAGCCTTCAGGGAGATCATATATTCTAGTAAAGTGGCTAGACGGGGCAGTTGCCGTGACAGTATCACCATCATCTTTATCAGATTCTGTCATGTCATCACCGTTGATGTTATCGTCAGCATCATCATCACTTCCCTGCCCATCCACAAATGATGCACCATTGTGCACATACATACCCTCTTCCTCTATAACCATGTCCAGTACAACGGCATTTGAGGAGTTCCTTGCATTGACACCATGCCTAGGTACAACAACATTTGATGTTGATGGAGTAGCAGAATAGTCAGATATGGATTCGTCAATGTATATCTCCAGCGTGGACATACTCTCCATCTGAATTATCAACCACATATTTGATACAGCTAGCTCATCAAGAAGTGGCATAAGCATGTAATTTCCCCCGTTCATGGGAAATTTCATTTTCAATCGCAAACAACGGCTCGGAGGAATCATTGTAGATGCATGGATTTTTTGCAGCATCTCGACCAAACATGCACCACGAGAAACAATGACAAAGCTGCTTTTACCACCTTCATGGCGTATTTGCCCACCTTCCTCAAATACGTTCCCTCCCCAATGACACACGATTGGGAAGTTTGAGAAATCCATATTCTAATAACAATACATGTCCAACTTTCATGAGTACACATTAATATACACAATTCATATATGATATATATACACTTAAAAATGGAATAATATAACATTTAAAATAAATAATACATTCTAATTATTGAGTTTTTTAGCATTAGCAAAGTTCAAAAATTTAACAAAGTTCAATTCATACCTCCAAATCTACATTACATAACCAAGTTCAAAAAAAAATTATATAACAATAATTTCAACATCAACATTCAACACTTCATACATATTCACATTACACAACAAATCAATTCACAAATGAATTCCTAATTTACAAAATCCAATTTCGTATATTCTAAACCCTAAAATGAAAAATGAGATACATTAAAGATATTTGTTTACCTAGAGTGTTGAAGAAGATGAAAGTGAAGTAGTATTGACAAGATAGGGAGGACTCGCCGTCGCTCGCCGCACTTCGCTCGTATCTGCAGAGGATTTGGGGATTTGGGGATTGTTTGCGTTTTGTCTGAAACGGCCAACCCGACTTTCTGTTTAAGAGGTAAGTCGCCAAACGGTTGGGCGACTTATAAGTCGTCAAACCGGATGGCGACTTATAAGTCGACCAACCATTTGGCGACTTACCCCGACCATGATTAATTCCAGCAGTATATCGGTAAACACTTTTAACTCAACATTATTTTCGTAATTAATTAATTAATTAGCATTAATTCAAAAAAAACTCAACTTGTAAAGTATAAACGAGACTAGGAACAACTAGCAGTTGTGGTAGAGTGGAGTTAGTGTTGGTCCGTGTTTGAGAAGGTTTCAAGTTGGTGCAGAGGTTGATTCTCGACTTCAACCTTTTTCCAAGTATTTTACTTATGCATTTCTAAGCTGCCAATTTGATTCTAACCCTTAGCCTTTTTCATTTTATTTTACTTTTGTTTTACTTATGCATTTCAAAGCTCCCAATTCATTCTCACCCTTAGCATTTTTTCATTTTGTTTTACTTTTGCATTTTTTAGCACTTAACTAATTAATTTAAAGCTACTTTAGAGTTTGGACAATTGGACTACTTCAATATAATTACAGTTTAATTTTCGCATATAATTTATGAAGTTTAACAATTACATTTTTACATTTAATACAAATTGTTTTTTTTAAAATATACTTGTGCATTCGCAACTTAAGTTAATTCTAAATAAATATTTGATTCATTTCTTATTTGATTCTTATTACTAACATAATTTTGAATAGACTACAAACTACGGAGTATGTGATTAATTTTTTTTTATCCAAGTAAAAATTTATCTGGCGTGCAATTTTTAGGTATGATATCGTAATATTTTTCTCCCACGAATACTTTGTTATTTTAAATTGATTTTACACTGATTTTTATTAATGTGATTATTGTTTATGACATGTGTGAGATAGCTAATGTAAATTCACCCCCACTAACGAAAATTCCTGGATACACCACTGATTACCGTCACAATGTTATTTTTCAATGGGAATCTTAAACCGAGATGAAGTTAGTAATAGTTTCGGAAATACTACTTTCAAAATTTTATTTTTTACTACAATATATATAATCTTGCATGTGGTTTGGATGCATGTACTGAAATGAAGTTTATTGACAAAGATATGACTGAATTTAATTACTATGATTATAACGTCATTGTCATTTAGGTGTAAAATTGAACATAAAAAATCACTATTAGTTATTGCTTTAGTCACTACACAAATTTTTGTTTATCATAATTATTTAGTCATAAATATGTTATTATTTTTCAAAATAGTTGATACACCAAACTAAATTATTTTCTAAAGAAAAGCTAATTAATTGCCAAAAAATAATAATTAGAACGCAAATTAAATATTAGGTATAACTTTTAAAACGGGAAGTTAATAATCAGTCTTAGAATATACCGAATACGTCATCTGTCTCCAGAATGTCTTCATCATTAGTTTCTTTTTTTGAAAGGAAACTATATCATTACTCAACTCAAACTCTCGGTATGTAACTAAGAGATCATACAATCCGGTGGGGTACACAACATATGAAAACCAGCCGACATAGAAAGAGCAGCCCTAGCTAACTTATGAGCTACTACATTTGCGGATCTTCTACCGTAAATGACTTCTATCCTAGCTTCATTACGAAGACTGAGTCTTATATCTTCTAAAATAGTGTCCAAATAGGAATCTCCATCCATGTTAACCAG